CTTCATTGCAGCTTGGATCAGGAACATCCAAATATACCCCATCTGGGGAACAATATATGGTACAATTTAATTTACACAGCAAATCTTTCCCCAATAGGTTAACAGGTGAACAAGGGCTAAGGAGAAAGGCATGACGGTCTGACAGAGGGCCGATAGAAACTGACAAGGGTAAAGAGACAGGATGGGGAATGGGAGTATTACCTACCCCCACCACATTTACAATTTCAGAAGTCAGAGGGAGGGAGGGAAAATCACTGGCGCGAAGGGTAGACCGCGAAGCGCCAGTATCTACCAAGAAGGAAGTAGATATCCCTTCTACAACACAGGTTACATATGGTCCAGATTGATCCTAGGGGATAAATGAAGCGATGATGTTACCAGTCTCCTGGCTGGCCTACGGGTTTTGGGGAAGAAAAGGAGCAGGGGGAGGAAAAGGAGGTGGAGGAAAAGGATAGGCAGGTTGATTGGGGCAGCAGTCAGGACGAAAGGGACAATTCCTTTTCCAATGACCCTCTCATCTACAATAAAAACAACTAGTATTACTTTGTTCCATAGGGGCTGAACAATTATAATTCTGTTTGGGTTGTCCCTTTTTACCTCCTATCTTCCCATGGGCTTCCTGCATTTTTTGGACCTGAAGGGCTAGAAACTTAGTCTCTGTATCTTCCTTTTTCTTTTCAAGTTGACGATAATAATGCTGGGCTGCCACTAATATTTCCTTCAGATTTTTTCCCTCCCAGTCAACAATACCTATTTTTAGCTGGTCACCCAGTTTCTGATTAAGTCCTTGCACAAAAGCTGCTACCACTGCTTGCTCAGCGTCCTCCTCAGCATTATTAATGCCGGAGTGTCTTTCAAATACTTGTTTAAGACGTTGCATATAATCGGCAGGATTTTCTCCTTTATTTTGCTTACATGTATTAATTTTAGTCCAGTCTGCTTTCTTTGGGCAGACCTTTAAAATAGCATCCATTATCCTATTTCTAAGGGCTGACAACTCCTGTCCAGTGCCAGGGTCAACCTCAGGCCTTCCGGCAGTATCAAAAATGCGATCTAAGGTTTCCCTGGGCACCATTCCCCTTAGGAGCTAGTTTAAATCGGCCCATGTAGGAGTATAACAACTTATAACAATTCCTAATTCCTCTTGAAATTTCACAGGATCCTCCCTGATGTTGGGAAATGTCTTTTATAAATGAAATAAATCTGCAGCTGACCAAGGTGCATGCACAGTC